ATGCGGCTGCGGCAGAAGGACGAGCCCAGCACCGCCGCGCCCCTGTGCCCCAGCTCCTTCGCCGAGGAGCTCAGCAAGATCCTGGAGAAGCGCAAGCATTCGCAGCTGGTGGAGAAGCCGGACGAGAGCTCCGTCTAGGGGCCCCCCAGGCCCCCCCTGGCTCAGGCGCCGGCCCCTGCTGCCCCCCGGGGTGTTCCCAGACCGGCCGCCGGACACAAAGGAGACTTGAGTTGCTCTCTACAAGCCCGGGGTGGCCGGCGGACAGTGGGAGAGGACCCGTGGGGAGGGGGGTGACTGTGCTGGGGCCGGAGCCGGGTGCCGGGCCGGAGCCGCCAAGCTGCGGGAGAGCCGGGAGGCGGCTGGGCTGAGCAGAGGTGGGTAGAGCCGTGGCTGCGGGGGAGGTAAGTGGGGTGAGCACAATGCTATTCAGTGCCCTCAGGGAGGCAGGAGTGGCTAAACCCCCAGTGAGTTCCCCCGGGGTAGCTGTCATGTGGCCGCTCTTATCCCAGGGTAGTGTCCTCCAGGCCCTTGGGGGTCAATCTGCCATGGGATCAAATCCTGGGTACAATCCGGGGGGGGGGGGGAAATGTCCCATGTGGCTTCTGCCCCACAAATTACCTTGCTGGGGGAGGGGGGATAGTACTGGCATATTTGGGACAGGAAGTGAAGCACTGCCCCACGTGTCCGGCACTGCCTCCTCCGACGCTCACTGCCTCATCTCCCCGCAGGCTGGCGCCGGGCTGGGAGCCGGCCGCCTCCGTGGACCAGCAGGGCCTGGGCCCTGAGTGCGGAGGCCCGGGTGGGCGCAGGGACGGAGCCTGAAGAGAGGACAGCACTGAGGGGCCGCAGCGTGGGACCCTCCTGCCCAGTGCGGTGCTGCTCGCTCCCTGCCCTGGGCTGTCAGGGCCCTGCCTGGGACAAGGGGGCCCGTGGGAGGGGAGGGGGCCATGCCACGGTCTGCGAGTGTAGGAGGGGGCCGGCGGACATCCTTGGGGGACCCCAGCAGGCCCCGTCTCCTCGTCAGCAATAAATGCGGATGTGTCTGGACCAGCCAGTGTCGCTTGCTCTGACCCGGCCTGGCAGACAGGAGGGGGCTGGGGAGGTCTCCTCGGAGTCGCTGCAGGGTCGGGTCCGTGCCCAGCCGGTGCGTGAAGGGTTAACAGGCCTCTGGCGTCGGGGCAGGCAGCCCATCCCCGGGGGCTCAGGGCTTCCCTCACATCACATGGGGTCTGCTGCAGAGCTGGGGGCTTGGGGCTGGGGTCTCAGAAGCCCTGTGCCAGCCCCTGCATAGAGCCCAGGAAGGGGAATGGGGGTCTGTGTCCCCAGTCTCCCAGCAGGTCACCAGTGTCCCCACCTCAGGCCTGCACCTGGCACTCCCACGTCTGCCCCTCCTGGCAGCCCTCCATGCCCCAGAAGCACCATCTCGCTGCTGCCTCTCTAGGCTTCCCTCTCCCTGTGCACCAGGCGGGTGCCTTGGCTTCTCCCTCCCCTCACCATGTCTGCAGCCCCTCCTTGTTTTCTGTGCCTACGAGGGTTGGGCCTGGGGGTTCTGCCCATCGCAGTGGAGACGAGCGCAAGGTGCTGTACATAAAGGAACCACAGTATAGGCCAGGGTGGGGGTGGTATCACTGGCAAAGGGCAAACCAGCAACTCCTCCTGGGAGGGCAAGACAGGGTATCCTGGCCACACCTGGGGCTGGCATGGACACGGGTAACAGGACAGCCCAATTTGGATGCAGCCCCAGCATCTTCCGGGCTGATAAAGATGGGCTGAGTGGGAGCAGGCAGCTGGGCCTGGGCTCTGGGTGTTAAGGAGTTGGCGAGGGCCCAGGGGGCATGATGGGCATCCCCAGCCTTGGGGCAGGAAATCACAAGGTATGGGCAGGAGTCACTCAGCTCCAGGGAGTGCAGGGGGAAGGACAGCTGGGCAAGGAGCCCCCACCCCTGCCGGGTCACCAGAGCTGCAGCCACCTGCCCTGGGCCGCTCTCCAACCCCCTGGGCGCCGGGGCAGGGACTGTGAAGCCCAGTGGGGAAGGGTGTGTGTGTAAAAGCCCTGGAGCCTACTGCCCCTGGGAGTCTGCCCAGTGCCAGCTGCAGAGCCCCCTGGGTCCCAGGAGGAGGGGTGGGGAGCTGGCAGGCCAGGCTGTGCCCACAGTGAGTGGGGGAAGTGGGTCCCTTTATGCCAGGAGTCAGTCAGGGTGACAAAGGCTGCTGGGTGCTAAGGCAGGTGCTTGGGGCTTAGCTGGGCCGGGCTGTCCTTGCTGGTACAAGGCTGTCCTGAGGCAGGGAAACCTGCCCCCTCCCTCGTGGGGCACGAGCAAACCCCGGCGTTTTGCCCAGCTCCGAGGGCCCTGCCTGTCCTGGGGGTTTACGGGGGGTTGGAGCATTTCACTACCTCCTGTCCTAAATGGCCCGGACAGGCTGTGGGGGCTGCCTGCCCCCAGCCAAGCCCCCTGGGATGGGACTGGGCTGTACCCCTGCGGTGCTGGAGCATAGGGGTGCGTGGGGGGGGGGGGTCAAACCCCAGACTCTGGAGGAGGAGGAAGGGAAGAGCCAAGATGTGAGAGAGGCAGCAAGGGCTAGAAAGGAAACAGCGGACACGGCCCGAGGGCACCCAGCGTGCCCCCTCTCTCAGCAAGAGACGTTCCCCAGCCCTGACATGCAGCTGGCTCTGGGGTGCAGCGCGGCAGGGGCCAGTCCTCCGCGGCTGCTGACTGGGTGGGCGGCCTGGGGCCAGGCTCTCCTCTTCCCCCACGGAGTGGACAGCAGGTGGCATGTCCACCCGGGGCATGACGAGGTGGACCAGCTCCCCCCTCCGGCAGGCAGCGAGCCCCCCCCTTGATCAGACGACAGGCCCCCGCTTCCCACACGCGTGCACACGGAGTCCAGCCCTGCGCTGCGTGGTTTATTCCAGGGGCGGGAAGCCTGGCCGCTGCACCCGGCGCAGGGTCTGCAGGCCTAGGCCGCTGGGCTTGTTGGTGAAGGGGTGCCACTGGCCCTGGATGCTGGGGTGGTTGGTGTGGAAAGGCTTGCGGATGCGGATGATCTCCAGCCCGGACTGGTTGGCCAGCTTGCCGATGAGCTGGGTGATATCCTCGGCCGTCCAGTTGGCGATGGACTCCTCCCGCACGGCGCCATTCACTGCCAGGACAAGGAGCGCCCGGCTTCTGGGTCCGGGGCCTTTTGTCCGGCCCCTCTGCGCGCTTGCGTTGAGGGCCACGTGGGCGACGTGGCCGTGGGGCTCCCCAACCCCCCCCCAACCCGTGTTAAACATGGCAACGGCGCGGCGCCTACTCACAATACTCGGCCACCACGGTGGGGCCTCGGCAGTCCTTGGGGTTCACGTACACGGCGATGCCCGGGTTGCTCCTGGCGAAATCCACCACCTTCTCCTCCACGTAGTCCCTGAGGGGAGAGGAGCGGGGGGCGCGTGGTCAGGGTTCGCACACCCGCTGCCCCGGTCGCTGTGGGAGGTCAGGGGTCAAGTGCATCCACGGGGGGTCACACTCCCCCTCCCCCCATCCATCCATGCTGCTGGGAGAAGGTCAAAGGGCACGAGGGCAGGGGTCACATGCAGACCGCCATGCTCGAGGGCCTTAGCACCAGCGCTCCGTGACGTCAGGGGTCACGTGCCCCCGGAGGGTCACGTGGGTCCGCCGTACCTGGCGCCGCGCGAGCTGGGCGAGGCCGGGCTGAGGACGAGGCTGAGGCGCTGGAGCTGGCAGACGTAGCGGCCCAGCCCGTTACGCAGCACGCTGGCGAGGAAGCGGCTCGGCGTCCCCCGGCCCGTCATGGCGGCGCCGCTTCCGCCACCCCCCGCCTCACCCGGAAGCACTCCGCTCGACCCGGCCCGGAAGTGGCACGAGGCAGTTGTGCTTCCGGGCTTGCTCCGCCACACTTCCTCCTTGGCTT